ATATGAGTTAATAAGGTTCACAAGACAATTATAAAATGCTCTCAAACACCTATATGGACCCCGACGATCGTGTTTTGGATACACACATAATGTCTAGGGATACTACGCGGGTTAATAAATGTGAGTCCAATCCTCCTAAGCAAGTAAATATGAGTCAATATGCTTCACAAGATAATTATAAAATGTCCCCAAACATCCGATGGGCCCCCGACGAGTATGTTATCAGTACACACGTGATGTCTAGGGATACTATGCATTTTAATAAGAGAATTTGAGTTCGAACCTCATCCTTTTATGCAGATCAATAAGATTCAACAAGATTCAAACCATCAAATAAATATATAGTTATAAAAACATGTATATTTATTTTAATATATTCATATTAAGCCTTCAAGGCCTATAATTAAGAAAATTCACTAACAAATGCATAAAGCCTACAAAATCTGATCCCCTATCGGCAAGTTGATAGAGTCGACAAGGTTCAAGCTTTAAATTGAAATAACCCCAAATACCTCAATAATGACCATTTTGAATGTTTATCTCCACTAGAGGGGTTAACTCCAACCATTTTAAATGCCCTCAAACTCCCATAAAATTCAATTATCTTTAAGTGACCTAAGAGTCATCCCAATGATGATCGTGTTAAATGTCTATCTCAACTGGAGCTGTTCACAAATATTTCTAAATGCCACCTAAATGTCCATCAAAATTAAAAACTCTAAAAATTCCAAAATCCTAAAACCTAAAATTTTTAAAATTGAAAATAATCCATCAATCACTTAAAGCAAAAATCCATCCACCCTCCACAACAATTTATCGGAGAGGGAAAAATAAAATTTACTTTCGCTCATATAGAGCTAATGCCTAGTCAAATATATCACTAAGATCTATTATCAAATAATCTCCTACTAGTAATAACATGATACGTGTTCTCTAACCGACGGTTTTTCTACCAAATGGCACTGCAAGATAAACAGTTATGACCTGGGGCCCTCTAAACTAAGTGGTTTTGCCATCAAATGGCACTACAAAATACCGATTATGAACAGAGCCAATATTTTCCTTAGTGGTATCAAATTCTTTAGATATAAATCAATAAGCTATGATCGATATGGCACAAAGTCCTCTGTTAGCTAAGATGGATTCAAATTTGTCCCCTTAGATAAGCATTCACCCCAGGTCTACAATGTCCCCTTGGACGAAGCAACCCATGGCTGTCGATAAGGATCCTTTTGTCAGGTTGAGTTGATTACCTCCTCTGACTTAGTAGACCATGGACCAAGATGGTCCAAGATGACGGAACCATGGGATCTTGATTGGGTCCATCATCCATTCCCCCATCATCCGCTTTAAGTGAAATATAATGATTTACAACTAGCCTTAATCGAAAGTTCTCTCTCGTGATCGGGAGGGGTAATTAACTATAGAGGATTTCGCCTATAGAAAACTAGAACTCAAGTCATAAAGTCCTCACAAAATGAGGACGGAATCTCTAGGTAGTGTCTTATCTACAAACCCATCTGCCATCCTAAAATTTCCGGCCCTAACTGAACCCTATCTCAATCTTGGTTTAAATTGACAACTTAGATTAATTCATGCTTTAAAGAAGAATGTAAGGTTTGATTTTGATTTGAAGGGGAGTTTTACTTGAGAATTAATTTGGAATAAATTTTAAAATTAAGATAGCTTTAAATAATTAAATTTATCTTTTTTTATGCTGATTAGATTTAAATTGAGTCGAGATGAACTAATTTAGTCAAAATTGTGTTAGAATTAGGTTTTTGTTTTAAATTTATGTGATGTCGATCAGGCCGAAACCAGTTCGAATGGTGTCTGATTTTATTCTAATTAAACATAAATTCAGAGCAATTTATCTCGTGATGATTTAGGTCAAATTTGATGGCTGAGACAATACTACATCATTGGGTATCCACCTAAGGAAAATCCTAATGATGACGTCTACACTAGGCTACGAAGACCTAGGCACTAGAGAAGAGTTTTGGGAAAATTGATCTCAAATAATGAGGCCAACAACACTTATTTTCACTCATCTGACATCTTTTAAGTCTTCAAAATAATAATAAAAAGTTTAATAAGTCATGAAATTCCTTCACCTTTTAAGCATTTCCATCCTGCTAAAGTCATTAAAGTTTAATAAGTAATAATCATAATAAGGTTAACTAGAATATCCCTTCTTTGGATAATTATGAAAAAGATGTTACTGAAATGTCTAAAGAGGACGAGTTCAAAATGGTGAATAGAAAGAAAGGCAAACAACCAAAAAATGTTTAATTTACCACTCCTAGATCCACCAGAACTCAAGCTTCTTCAAAAGATTTTAATGATTGAAGCTCTTATTTGGAATGTGAGGGGGATTGGGAGCAAGGACTCTAAGATTTAGGTCAAAAAATTTTGTAGAGTTCATAATATTTATTTACTTGTCTTAATTGAGCCTCTAATTGCTAATGTTAAAATAGAATCGACTGCTAAAACCCTGGGTTTTTCAAGTTCTACTCTAACTGTGCTAATAAAGTTTGGATTATGTGGCATAACTCTATTTCTTTAAATATTGTTGATGATTTCCCACAAGTTGTTCGTTGTTATATTAGTATTTTTAATGTTACTTGTTATGCTTCTTTTGTGTATGTTGCCTGTACTAGAGTGAACCAGATTGCTCTTTGGGATCAGTTAAATAGCTTTGCTTCTAATATTAATGGTCCTTGATGTGTGGGAGGTGATTTCAATATCATCTCTAATGCTTCTGATAGAGTTGGTGGCAATCCTCCTAACATTAATGCTATGAATGATTTTAACACTATGATAAATGACTGCAATTTGAATGATATTGGTTTTTTTTTAGCACTTTCACTTGGAATAGATCTAATTTGTGGCAAAGACTTGATAGGTTTCTTTTCAATAATGAGTGGATTGTTAATTTCCCTATGACTAATGTTGAGCATTTAAGTAGAACTCTTTCTGATCATTCTCCTATTTTGCTAAAAGTTAACAAAATTAATCCTTCTTGTTCTTATGCTTTTAGATTTTAGAATATGTGGATGTATCATACTGATTTCAAGAATGTTATTAATATTAATTGGAGTGCTCCGGTTTATCCGGGTAATAACATTACTGGCATGTTGAGATTATGGGCTAAGCTGAGTAGACTTAAACAATGTCTGAGATGGTGGGACAAAAATGTTTTTAAAAATATTTTCTCTAATATTAAAGATGCTGAGCTGAAAGTTACCGAACTTGATAACATCTACTTGAATATGAAGAGTTGGATATTGGGACCTTAAACCCAATTTTGAAAGGTATTATATACTTGGATAAAGCTGGTTTACCTTATATTCAGAATGTTTGATTCTTTTTCTCGTCTGGCTGACTGGAGGTTCTATTTTGTGTTGGCTTGTTACAATCGCTGGGATTTTCTGAGGTGGCATAATTGTTTTAGTCTTGACTTATTTCTCACTAGTTTTATCTTTACTTTTATGTATTTGTTTCCGATTTGGGGTTATCCTCTGTTTATTCTAGGATGAGAAATTTGGGTGTCTGTTTCTAGCTTGTGTGACTCAGGAAGTTTTGTTTTGGTTTTTTTGTTGGATCCAGATGTGGCTGTCCAAATTCTGGAATGAATGCTTTGTTGGGTCTATTATCTTTCAGTTCTCTATTGTTTATGAGGTGGTTATTTTATTAACATGGATGGATATTGGCTATAGTTGTTTTGTGTTTTGGGAATTTTTCTGGATGGAGTGTTTAAATGATGCTTGGGGTTCTTATCTTGGCCTGTTGCAGTTTTTTGAAAACCTGGGGGGTCTTTTCATGAGGTTAAATTAGATCTACTATCATATATGTTGGTAGCAGGCTAAATTTTGGCATAATATTACCATATATAACATCTGTTGGAATTCAGTTTTGGAGTGGGCCTTGGATAATATTTTGTTTAAACTGAACTTCTTTTTCCCTCTTTCGTTTTGTAAGTTGTTTCTTTGTAGGCTCCTTGGGTGGATGCGCATCGACGATCTCTCTTCGGACAATCAAGACAATTTTGCTCTGGATGGCTCGATTGTATTTTTTTGTAGGAATTACATGCTGAATTTTTATCTTGTAAGATTCCTCTTTTGGGTGCTGTCTTCTTACAGCCCTAGGTTATTATTAGGAAATTTTGTAACTAGTAGATCAAGGAACCATCGGCTTTTAGGTTTTATTTTATTTTCTTTTGTAGCTCTTCTTAGCATTAGAAAGTTGGATGTTCCTTTTAAGGACCTTGTAATAGTATTTTTGATATTAAAACGCGTAGGCCCCACAGTAAGTTTTAACCCAAAAAAAAAAATAATAATAATAATAATAAAAGTTTAAATCACAGTATTTGTGCCACTCAATAAATTAAATTAAAACGTAATTGATTGATAGACAGTTTTTTTGAAACCATTTTTATTTATTTTAGCCGATGTTCAATTGAAATAATGTGAAGTATATATGTGAAAAAAATCGGATTACGTGTATTATACATTGCTAGCTGTTGCCCTCCTAAATAAATAAATAATTAAACTGTATAACATATTAATTACAAACAAGTAATTGATATCAATATATCAGTAGTTGTGATTGCACTTTTAAATCTCACCAAGAAAAATAAATTCTATAAAATGTACTTTCTATCAAAAATCCAAATTACAATGACATCACACCATTCACTGAATGGACCTATCACCAACAAACTCCATTTAATAACATCTGAACTAGAAAAATTATATGTATGACTTCTCATATATAAATCAACAAGAAAGTTTAATACATTCATGCAAACTTTTCTTTCCTTAGCTACAAATACACGCATGAATATAAAATAAATTTATATCATAGCAGACTGATACAAATTAGCTTCAGAATAGGTTTATCAAATGACACTTGCCCTAATGTAAAGTGTACAATTTGAATGTAGAAAAATACGTTATAAGAAAATGGAAAAAAAATTTTATATATATCTAAATACAAGAAAATAGAAGACATAGTTTTATTTATAGAAGACATTTGACTATATGCATTTTATACTAGAATACATTCCATGTAATAAACCCATGATTATACATCCTTATATCATAATGTCATTTGATACAAAAAATTTCGAAGCTGGTGGCATACTTAATGTATATCTGCAAAATTTACTTTGCTTTCTCTAACCAGTCAAATCACGTAGAAGCTGAGCTCCCATCAAGTTCCTATAAGGAATGCTTTGTCCCTCCCCCACGAGTACTGAGAACTGCATTGCATCGCCTTCATGGTGCTGCAGGCCAAGTGTGAGCTCCTGGCCATGGTAGGAATCAAAGTGATCAACATCAAGGTTGTCAAAATTCTGGTTAAGGTTAGGGTTGGGGTTGGGGTGATTATGAGTGTGCACGGTGCTGATGATTGATGTGAGAGAATGTGGCTCATCAAGATGGTGGAGATGGCCAAGCATGCCAGACTTTCGACCTTGATCAAAATGTGGTTCTGAAGAAGAGCTAAGGTTAGGGTTTGAGCTATGTTGGTTGTTGCTGTCTCCTTCTTGCATGGAGGTTGCATGGGAGGATTGGCATATTTTCGTCTCCTCATTCAGCTCTTCCAAGTACATCTCTTCCACCATTGGCTTCCACAGTCTCACCCTAGCATTTATGAACCAATTGGAGACCTGCCATACAATTTTGATAATATAAATTGTCTATGCATATATCCAAACATTTATATATATTTGAGTTTCTTTTAAAAAAGAAATAGTATCCTTAGAAGAACTCTCATCATAATAATCAACACTATTACATTAGAGATTATTACGTAAGCATACATTTTTATTTGATTTGATTTATATCAATATTTTATTAATATAAAAATAAAGTAATGCATGTCAAAAATTAAAACGCAAATGTAAATATTTTATGATCACCTAATGATCTAGCTCAAAATAATAATCTAATAAAGATGCACTTGATTACATTTCGTGCGAAAAAAAAGTGTGTTAAGACTTGATGTATATTATTCAAGATGGTGCTTACGCAAGCAAGTTTAATCTGTTCAGAAGGGAATTAATTAGTTCGGAGAGCATGCAGAACACTTACCTGGCTTCTAGATAGGCCAGTTTGTCGAGCTAAAATATGTTTGTCAACATCACTTGGGTACCTGCAGTTCATTAGTACTCTGATGTCAGAAACTGGTAGGTCCAACCTTAAAATAATAATGATAACTCTCACATGATTTCAGATGAAGAGTTGTGTATTGCCTATAAGTTATACATTTAATAATTTTAATTTACGTGTAAATTCAGAACAGAATGCAGTATATATATATGAAGAACGTATTTGTAATGATGTATTAGTTTTATGTCAAAAAGTACAGCAATAATGGTTAATTCTTTATTTGACTATATCTCTTTCAGTTGAGGATGAAATAGTCCATCTCTTCTGTGGCACGGGATTCGCTCAAAGAAGAATCACTAACAGCCATAATAAAGCCTCCTATTGTATATATATACCAGCTAAGCAGGCATGAAAGATTAATGTTTATCCATCATCAAACAATACAAAAGTGCGTATAATTTGGACTTAGTCAGCAGTTTGGTTAGTACAGACAACTTATTAAAGACAAAAAAAACATAAAAGAAAACAGTCAATGCAACATTTTAATCATATCGAAAAGATAAAACAATTACATAATAAAATATAATCAATCCTCATCAAGCAATTAAAATAGTGTACAAAGCAAACATACATTTTCATGGATCCCATCGAAGGAATATTACGCATAAGACATACAGTTTTAAACTCAACGCATTTTAAAAACTCGAAAGTAAAGAAGAAACATATCAAGTCACATAAAACTTACACAAATTGTCCACAGCTAAAATTAATTTACATACAGCTGGAAATTAAAATATTAATTACAGAATTGACTATTGTTTTTTCAGTTATATTAAAAAAGTTATTTTTCATAGCTTGAAAATGTGTGATTTCGACCAATCATCTTATACTGTAAAATTCTCATACTAATAGCATATTATATAAATTCATGTTATGAAAAAACAGTATTAATCTTTATTTAATTATCATTTTTATTTCTTTTCTAGGAGGAAGAGTAAGAGAGCGAGAGAGCTTCTGATCCTATCGACACAATTAGCACAGATTTTTATCCAATCATCTAAAATTAGTCAAATTTTAATCTCCAATGATATGATTAAAGATATTTTAATAAATGATGATTAAGTGAAAATATTCTATTTATCATTAAATTTATCAATGATTTTACCCAAATGAAAAGGCTGATGGCCAAATTAGAAGTTCAAATTTGAAAAATAGTGACTCCTAATTATAAATGGATATAAAGATTTCTTAAAAATTATATATATTTATGACCAGAAGAAGTTAGTTTCATCATAACAGGGCTTTACGATTTGTTTTCATTGTTACAAAATCATGATAAAATCTGATCATCAACAGCATCAGCTTTTGAGCACCATTTGTGGTCCTATCTAAGGCTTCCTTTGGGACAGCTTCTTTACTGTTTTTTAATAAAAAAAATTTAGTTCAAAAAATTTTTGTATTAAAAAATTATTTTAAAAAATGATAAGAAAGTTGTCCCTAAAAAAATCTAAGTCAACAAATTTTCCATATTATGTCAAAAGTTTATTAAGAAAATAAGGCATTTCTATTATAACTAATAAATAATAATTACAAAACACAATTCACCAAAATTCAACATTGAAATCACAGATTAGGGGAAAAATATCACAAATACATATTGCTTTAACATGTATATGCTTTTGTTTTTCTATATGTTGATTCCGTTTAAATTTTTTGAATGGTAATTACTTAAATTAAGAAAATTACTCAAATTATATAAAAAACCTGATCGATAAATAATAATTCAATTTTGAAATTCGTATTTCAGAGAAATTAATCTAGTGAAAAAGAGATGGATCGGAGAACATTACGGATGCAAAAAGTGCTCAAAAAGCCAGGCCCTGAGGACTGAAACCGAGCGTTCAGGGAGGCCACGCTGCGGTCTCCATGGATGAGACTCCATCGTTCCTGAAGGATGTTGAAATGCCTTTTGCTGCCTTAAGCACTGGTCAATAACTTTCAGCCTTGGAGTTTCTCCCCTCGTCAAACCTGATGTGATACCCCCATCCTTCTCTCCCATGGCCTTCCGTATTGCCTTGATCTGTCCACTTATACCATCCCTCAAGCATCTAAAGTGTCTTGACATTGCCTTCCAAGCCAGCATTGAGTATGTTCTCGCCGCACCACCGCCGGCAATCTCCTCGAACGTGGATACCACAGCCTTCATCTGCTCGCTATATTTCTTATACCTCCTATCCACCTAATCAAAAGCAAAAAAGATTTGTAAAAGATTCATCAAAACGATATTAGTTATAATTAGTAATGCAAAATTATTTATTTTCCATTTGATACATAGCAAATGATTTGTATGAGCTGTTCATGGTTTTGGTTAGTTGGCCAATTATGTGTGTTCTAACAACTAAAGTCAGTTTGAGTAAGATTTCAGTTATCAAGCACCGAACTTTCTTATTTATCATCTTCAATTTGTATAACAGATATCATAAATGATTTTGAAGGTGTGTGGAGTCTGAATTGTAATGAAGATGAATTATTTTCTGTTCTCACAAATATTTTGAAGATTGCACCAATATTTTAGTATCTAAATGCATTATCATAGAATCGATAATTAACATATTAAAACATGCGTGACCGTGAGCGGAAGTTATTCTCGAGGTTATTTTGTGATTTCTGTGATGTTCTGTCTGACTTTTCTTTTCAATTGCATTCCTAAAAATGATAAAATTAAGCTTGAAAACCAAAGTCTGTTTCCCCAAAGAATCCTAAAGAGGTTTCCTTACTACCTAGAAAACTTTGTAAGAAATATGTAAGCATATATAATCTCAATTAAGGTACATTAAAAAAAGGAAATAAATTGTAATAATGTACAAGAAAACAATATTTATCATTTTTAATATATACAACAAACTTTGCATAACTCTTCATAATAACTCACATGTAGGTGGAATTCGTCTTATGTTTCTGTTAACAAATAAAGCTAATTTACTGTCTTCTTAGTAAATAGTTACGATTAATTTTGCCTTGAAAAAAAAGATAGCGATAAACTCAGAGAAAAGGAAAGAAAATAACAAGAAGAGCCAGCTAGCTCTTCTATGGACATATTCTCCTTAACCTTATGTTTAATTATCACAAATGGCATAAATATCTCTTTTCTCCCACTTGGATTTTAGCCATGAAAACTTTTTCTCCAGTGTACCATATTCCTTGTCATGTGGAGGGACATGCGTTGAAATAGAAAACTATGTTTATGTTACTTTTTCGGTTAAGGTTAAGAACATTGCTTTTAATTGCTCTTACCCCAATTAAGATTTGTGCTCCTCCATTTCCTCTAAATATACTTAAAATTATATCATTTGATTACTAGCATCTTGATCTAAAACTCTGGGCTAAGAGAATTATTAGGAATTTAATTACTGAGTATTGTTAGTGTGAGGTTGATTGCCTTCAGGTTTTGGGATTTTGTTTTGATGGTGTAGCTATGCAATTTTATTTATTTTTGTGCTGCTTCTCTAATCTTAGTTGGCATTTTAGATTTTTTAGAATTTATTTCTCTTGATCTTATGGTATTAGGTCTTTATTTTTATGTGTGAGAGTCCATTCAATTTTTTTTCTAACTAGTCTTAGTATGGTTTGGAATTATTTTTTTTACAATGTTGAAGAAAATTCTTAATTTTCTTTAAAATAATAAAAACTTATGGTTACCAGGACGGTATCACAGCCAGTAGTATGTAAAGTTACAGTATTACTATTGTGGGTTCCATTTATTAGCAACAATAATGAGGGAGGATGGAAGAAAGATAGGGTCAGATAACCATGCAAAGTAGGGAATAGAGGCTTCCAAAAGTAAGTGGGGAAGCATCAAACTGTCAATTTGTCCCCACTTAGCAGTGGCATATATATCTTAGTTTCATCAGAACCACATAATTAATTAGTTGAATAAACTCCGATAATAATTAGAAATACAAATTAAAATAAAAAATAAAAAATTACCTCTTCTAGCATGGTGAAAAGCTTTGCCTTTCTCCTTTGCAGCTCCAATGGTTCCATCGCGTACAGCGCCTGTTGGCTCCAAGAAGCGCTTGACTCATCCTGCAATTTATTACTGTTCTTCGTCTTGAGGTTGTTTCCTACTCCAAGGCTACAGAATTCATTTAAGAGTTCCTGGGCTGGAAGAAGATACTTGCAACTTTTTATTTGAAAAGGATGGTGTGATGATATTTGGAATGAAGGAGGTTGAGGAGGGTTGAAGAGGGATAGAGAGAGGCTTTGAACTTGGTTCGTGTGAATGGGTCTCATCATAGAAGAGTTTTCTCCTGGCCAAGCGATCGGAGCTGTCTCGGGTACAAAACCTCTCAAGTTTGGAGTTGGCATGTTCAGAGTGAAGGGATCATGGTTACCGGCGGCGGTCGGCTCAAAGTTGTTCATCGACGAGTGGTTATTGATGGCTGAGATATTGTTGAATGGGTAGTGGTGTTGGTGATGGTGGAGGTAGTGGGAATCTTGTGACATAGTGAATTGCAAGTTTTGCTTTTGAAATTTAACTGAGGAGATGATATCTGAAGAGATAATGAAGAGCAAGGCCAGAAAAAGAAAAAAAATATTTAGTTGGTTTATATCGTATAATATATATATATATAAGTTGTGATCTTGGGGAGGTAGGATGTGGGCTCTACGGATCCGATATGTTCAGGGAAATTTTTTTTATGCTATTAAGGGGTGAGCTCACGTAAGGGAGCCCATCTTCACCTCAAAAAGTTCCAGTTCTGAAAGGAAGAGGAAGGAGGAGGGGGAGAGAGAGAGAGAGAGAGAGATCATCCAAAGGAACCAATAATCTTCTTCTCTTACTTCCGTAGCAGATGATTAGACTAACAGCCGCCGCTTGGTGGTCCTATATATGGCACCCTTGTAATCTTCGTTACAAGTTACCACTTAACTCTTCTTCTTTAATGGCTATGCAGCACTTTAGGTGAGATGTGGCTTTTCTTCTTGGTGCAACGAGTGGCTAAAACTCTTCAAAGTGGTGTGAATCCTAAACTCTTCAAAGTGGCAGTTCATCATTTCCTTTTTTTTATCACTTCAACAAAACTTGACCTTTTTCAGATGGCCTTCTGCCTCTGATCTTTAAGAAAAGTAGTTAGAAGTGGACTTGGTTCCCGGATATTTCTCCCACCTTTCTTCCACGGGAGAGGAGAGAAAGAGAGATAGAGGGAGGGAGAGAGAGAGAGAGAGAGATGGTGTCGAAGTGGTCCTCCGTTTCCAACCAATTCCCATTAAGACCGATATTAAAGGGGGCAAGCCACCATCCATGGGAGTATGGGACCAATTTTCCTCTTGCCTTTTCCTCTCAGCTCCAAATACTTATTGGCTACTCTCTCTCTCACCCGGCCCTTTCGCCCTCATTCACACATGTTTTTTTATTTTTTATCTTTATTTTTATTTAATATGGTGCGTAGTCCTTTTAGTATATGTGTAGAATATCATTTTTTTTTCTTTTGAAAATTTTGAGTTCCCCTACAAAATATGATGCAGTTGAAATTTCATTTTAGAATCTTGACAATAACGTCTTAGATTTTTGCAAAGTTATCTTACATTCGTATTGTAATATTTTTTTATTGTTAAAATATCTAATAATATTGGGGGACAAAAGCTGTGGTAAAACAATTTTCAAGGTAAAGAAAATATCTCTTAAAAATGCTCAAAATAACATAGAGATAAATCTAAGCTTGATTCGGCTATATCGAGCCTTGCTCAACTTGAATTTGAACAAAATAGCTATGGGCTCCGAAAATTCAGCACTGGCCTCCCCGCTCGCTTTTTCTTTTTATTCGGCGAGGAAGTTTTAACGAACTAAGTTTCGGGGTAAATTTTGAAAGTCAGATGGGTTTGTAGATAAGACACACTACATATACCCAGAGATTTCGTCCTCATTTTGCGAGGACTTTATGATATTAGTTCTGGTTTCCTATAGGCGCAAGCCCCTATAGTTAATTACCCGTCCCGATAACGAGAGAGAACTTTCGATTAAACCTACTCGTTGATCAGATACGTAGAGATACGTGTTATCTAGCATATAGTAGCAGCATGGGTATTTAAAATGATTGGAGAATTTGGGAAGGTTGGATGTTTAGGAATTTGGGAAATTTGATATTTAAAATAGAAATTGCACCATCTTGCACTTAAAGCGGATGGTGGGGGAATGGATGATAGACCCGATCAATATCTCATGGTTCCGTCATCCAGGGCCATCGTGGTCCCTGGTCTACTAAGTCAAAGGAGGTAGTCGACCCAACCTGACAGAAGGATCCTTGTCGGCAGTCATGGGTTGCTTTGTTCAAGGGGACTTTGTAAACCTGGGTTGGATATTTACCTAAGGGGAAAAATTTGAATCCACCTTAGCTAACAGAGGGCTTTGTTCCCTATCGATCATATCCTATTGATTCATATCTCAAGGATTTGATGCCACTAAGGAAAGTATTGGCTCTGGCCATAACCATTATCTGTGGTGCCATTTGTCGGCAAAATTACTCGGTTCAGAGGGCCCCGGGTCATAACCGTTTATTCTGCGGTGCCATTTGGTAGCAAAATCGTCGGTTAGAGGACACGTACCACGTCCTTACTAGCATGAGATTGTTTGAGAATGGATCATAGTAATATTTTCGACTAAGCATTTGGCTCTATGTGAGCTTAAGTAGTTTTCAACTTGTCCACCCATGCAAACTGTTGCGGAGGGCGGATGGATTTTGCTTCAAGCATTTGATGATTGGATTTCAAATTTTAATTTTTTTTTGAATTTTTGGATTTGAGATTTTTTTGGATTTTTGGATTTTGGTATTTTGTGGAGTTTTGAATTTTTGATAGGCATTTGGATATTTGGGAGATATTTGAAAATATTTGTGAACCCCTCCGGTTGAGATAAAAATTCAACACGGCCATCATCGAGGTGTTTGGGGTCACTTTAACATGATTAAACCTTGTCGACCCTATCGACTTGTTGATAAGGGATCAGATTTCATAGGCTTTATGCCCTTGTTAGTGAATTCTATTGATTTTAAGCTTTGAAGGCCTAATCATAATGTAGAAATATAAATACACCAGCTGTTATAACCATGTATTTGTTTGATGGTTCGAATCTTGTCAACTTCTATTGATTCGTATAGAAGGATCGGATTTGATCTTGAATTCACTTGTTAACCCGCGCAGCATCCATAGATGTCACGTATGTATCAATAACATGCTCGCTGAGGCCCATGCGGGTTTTATGGTTGCATTTACCCCTTTTAGTGTACCTATGTGTATACAAACTACTGTACACATGTGGGGGTATTCTTGGAATATTTATGAAATACCTTCTGTCCCCTTCCAAGAACGGTGCGAATCCGGTGGCGTGGCGTAGCAGCTTCTTGATCAGTTGTTTGCTGCTTTGTACAGGTAGATTGTCGTGCACTACTTGTATGATTTAAACAGGTAGATTGTAGTACACAAACTAATCTCTTGCTTTGGGTAGTAGGAGATTGCACTTTTCATATTCTTCATGCATTTTGTTGTGGTATTTGATCTCATATAGTACATCTGTCACTGCTATAGGTTAGCAGGTTGATGTTATATTCCATAGATTGAAAGTAACTTTAGGATACTGCACTTACTGAAGTCTTTCTGCATTTACCCATAAGTGGCATATGTCACATACATTTGTCTTTATAGAAAGATCGTATGTGTTGCAGATTTTTCATCATCATCATGAATAAATTGTAGCTTATAGGATGAAGCCTATTCTTCACTTTTACTTATAGGAGATTGATGTATCTAATTGATGGACCTTCATATTTTGCTCACCTCTCTTTCAGCATTCATAAGGATCGATGTGTATGTTTGCAAGATAATTGACCTCAGTCGTAGAGAGGCTCTCAGCTCTATAGCTTGTTCATTATTGTCATTCATGAGAGAATGGGTACTCTGCTTGTCGGTTTATTCTTGCTACTTGACTATCCTTTTGACAATGAGCCTTGATTTGCTATCATCACGGTTCTCTTAGATTAACAAATGGATGGTTATTGAGGAGCCGCAAAAAGTCATCATTCTCTAAGTCTTCCAACGTTAATACTTCTTTCTTTTTGTAGGGGGTGGACATATATACTTGCTACAGTGATATTGCCAATGATAGGGACAATTATCATTGGTTTTCATGTTCATCAAACTTCTTAAGGATGAGTGTATCACTTCCCTACTCATAAATGAGTCGTTGCATGCCCTTTGGAATAATCATTTTCAAAATCCCCGCAGACGTCATTCTCCAATCCTGCTTGTAATGCATTTAATTCTTTCATTATTCATCATGTTTGCATTCATCTTATTCGTTACATATTGACCCTTTTTGATTGCGAGAATTGTTGCATTTCCTTGTCACATTCATTGTCTTCAAAGAGATCTTGTAGTTTATAATGAATTTATTTATGAATGATTAGTTCACCATGCACTTTATGCTGATTACTTGACACCATATTTAGCACTAGTTTTCACCAATCATAAGTCCTTCACATCTCATTTATGAATGTGTCACTTATTCAATTAGTTTCAATCACTTAAGAATATGATTGAGATATATGGCCTATATTCATGACATGCCTCATTTTTGGCCAATTGATTGTCACTTAGGAGTGAGTTATGCCCAATATTACAAATATATTATCATGCTTTTAGGGCCCTCATGTTGTGGCTTTGAAATCAAGCCATGCCTTTCATAACATATTCTTTTTTTTTTTTGTATTTGACTTGAGATGATTGTCATTTATTTATCCTTTCATTTTTTGTAGGCATGTCACAAAAGAGTTGTTTATTCAAATATTTCAAACTCCACATAATATTGTTCAACTCAAGTTCAAGATTAATATCTTTTGCATTTGTTCACTTGATCTTTTTTTGAATAATCATGGATAGCACTTATCATTCAATTATTGTAGAGATCACAAATCCCTTATAAATTCATCATTTTGATCATTTGATATTTGATTGCAATTATCATTCTCATATAAAGTTCAATTCAATGTTGTCCTCTTATATTCAACTTCAATAAATTTCAAATATCATTATTACTTAATATTCATTTGAGCACAATTTGGTTGCAATCATAAGTTTTGTTATCTTTTATTCATTCAAAATTTTATTCAAATTGTTCAAGTCATTTTTGAGTCCATGTTCTTATGTCCCCTGTTGTCCAAATAATGTCCAATATTTGTTCAAGTCCTGAGTCTGAGTTCAAATCCAAGTACAAGTTCCAATCCGAGTTCAAGTCCAAGTACAAGTTCCAGTCCGAGTTCAAGTCCTTAAATCTTCAATCAAAATTTTGGCAGCCTCCCGGCGTCTCCCCCATTTAGGAGAAATTTTGGGAGACTATCCTTCCCACCACGCATAATAAAGACGTGTATGGTAGGTGCCCTCGGACGAGGACACTGCGGCCATGTACTTTCCTCCCACCACACACAATAAAGGCGTGTATGGGGTCTTCGAGTGCACCTGCATAAAAATAAGAATAAAAAAAAAACAGTTTGCTTTCCCCTCGCTCGAGGGTACATATAAATGACCCCTCTTCATCGTAGGCGCCGCACTAGGGTCCCATCCCACCACGCGTAATAAATGCGTGTATAGGCAGTTTTCCTGAGTGCTGTGAACGCCGAAGTAGAGTTTAGGTGATTTCCCGTCTTATCGGTGGCGTCGGATCGGGGTACCATCCCACCACGCACAATAAAGGCGTGTATAGTCGGTTTTTCGGTCTGACGCATACAACGAAAGCGAGAATCTGAGTTTAGAAAATTCGTACCTTCGCGGGATTGCTGGCGATGGGGAAAGAGTGCACAAAAATTAAACTCTCTTTTTTTTACTATTCTTTTTTTCACTTTAGTTCTCTTTTTTTTTTCTCTTTTTTTTTTCGCTTTCTTTTCCTTCTTTTTTTAACAAACATATACATTGTATAATAATATTAACATGGTATCTAGTAACATTAACCAGTAAAGAAAAAGAACTAACTTTGGCTAACAGCAAATGCTAACTAAATGCCAAACAATAAATGGACTTTGGAATATATATTTTCGAAGTACTTTCTGGGAGACTCTATACAACATTTGCACATTCAATCCATGCTGAATTAACTAAATGCCAAACTGTATGCACATTCAATCCATGATGAATTATTGTATGGGAAACAAAAGATTCCCAAGGATCA